TTTTTTTTTTTTGGCTTCCGAAACCATAGTCCCGCCGAAAAATCCTTCACGTCCCCCCAAATGAGAATTGAGAGGAAGTGAAACTCCAAACAACACCTAAGATCTTGTATTGTATACTAAGTTGCAAAATTTCAAAAGTATAGGTTTCGTAGGTCTTCAGATCGAAACCTTGCACGTAGACGTTACACGCACAAACACCATACAAACACAAACGCACAAAAATACATACTCGCGTGCACACTCACGAACATATAAACAAACACAAATACTAGGCAAATACGCTCACAAACATACAAAAACACACAACATACTTCTGTATAATAGACATTTTTGCACTGCGTAAAGGTAAAATACAAAAGAAAATGAAATTTAGGAGTTTTGTATTTTTGTGTCTCAACTCTCACCTAACTTCTTGCTATAATATATCACGACGACATCATTCTTTATTAAATAGAAATAAAGTCTCTTTAAAAAAGGGTTTGATGTGAAGTTTGGGAGAAAATTTGCCAAAATTTGAAGTTGCGGGTAATTTGTTCTCGACATTTAAGTATGTGGCAATTCCAACTTATAACAACATTTTCGGTGCCCTCATTCAAAAACATCTGCTGTTTTAGAGCAGCTGTTTCTTTTTTTCTTTAATTTTGTTGTTATTAAGGTGGACATCAATGGCAGAACCAAGGCAGCAACATTGCCTGGTGTTGGAGTGGCACAAAATAGCGGAAAAATTCGATCCAAAGAGACATCCCAGGGACGAAAATCATCAAATCCATTCACGGATAATGGGTCTAAAAACTCGAAAACTCTGGATAGCGTCAGAAACGCGATGAGAGCAGCAGTGTCACGTATGACGCTTAAGAAAGCGAAGAAAGCAGAAAAACTTCAAAAGAAAGTCGAGGAAAGAAAATCGCATGAAGTTGCGGTGAAGCCATTTCAACATACGGTAATTGCTTTATTATATTGTTTTTCCCCCAGGGTTCACATAGCTGCGGGGAGACACAAATATGCCAGTGATTTGGAACTAGGGGGATTCCGGACTGCGATAACGGTACGGAACTTTTACACACACCACTGTTTTTTTCGTCCAATATCCCACAGAGGTAACCGAAAATCAAACACGGTGATAATTGTTTCATTGATTTACAAAAGACCAGGTGGGACTGGGCCGCGTTTTAGTAATTGCTTGGAGAAGCTGGTTCGTGAGTTCATTTGAAGGTAGCAAATTCTTCGCATTTTGAGTGTATAATGCGAATTCTTCGCATCTGTATCTTTCGATAATCTGAGTTTCACAACAGCACCTCGTTCTTCGATTGTTCCGACCGCCACCGCAGACCAGAGTCAATGTAAGCCCAGGACAATTTGACCGTATGATTTTTTTTGCGTTTTTGTTGTGCAATGCTAGAGCGCTGCAACAGTGGGCAAAAACACATTCCGTTACATGATTGTCGGTGTGTGTGTGTATGTTTAGCAAGATATTTTGCAAATATCATTCTAAAGCTAACTTTGGTATTCGCATATTTCTTCATCCCACTTACACGGTTTTAACATGCCAAAAAAAGAAAACAGTTATTTCACCTTTTTATGTCTCATTTAACTCATTCTTAGTAAAACATAAATAAAAGTAAAGAATAACTTTGCCGATGCGTAGCAGTAAACTTTGAAATATTTTGTTGAAGTTGCCTAGACAGAGGATGCTGATTTTTGCTTGTGAATTACGTACGCATGGATCCAGAACTTGCACCAGTGTTACAGTCTTCCAGACTTGACACTCAGAATATCTGGTGTTTCGGTGCAGCCTTTTTATGCGTTTTTGCATATATGCAAATGAGAAAACGCATATTGCGACGACCCCGGTGTGCGTGTGTGTGTGCGTCTCTCCAGGTATTTCAACTCGGTACCCAAACATACTCCGGCGCCAAAATTTTGTGAGTGGGTTCCCCGGCCAAGTGCCACCACAGGACAGCGGTGCCAATCCTCATGCACGTCTAGGTCCTGCGTACGAGCGCCTCAAAATTTTGGCACGAAAATAGCTAACTTGGAAACCAGAAAAGCTAGAAACCTGAAATTTTGAGATTATGTTCCC